ACATTCATAGAAAGTAGCGATATAATTACGCAGATAATTATTTGTTTGTAATTCACAGGTATTCGAATGCGCGTCAGGTGAACGGGTCAAATATAAACTTAATTTATTCGACCCCATCTTGTTATCTGAAGTCGCTGCACGAGTCCGGCATTACATGGCCTACTAAAAGCGATGACTTCTTTCCATACGCATCTGATCCTCATGCTTATTGGACCGGATACTTTACGTCGCGACCAACGTTAAAACGCTACGAGCGGGATGGTAATCATTTCTTGCAAGTGTGTAAGCAGCTAAGTGCAATGGCTCCAAACAAGTCGCCTGAGTTTGAGGCTCATTTGACATTTTTGCGCGAAACACTCGGTATCATGCAGCACCATGATGCCATAACCGGCACAGAAAAGCAAAAGGTCGCGTTAGATTATGCAAAACGCATGAGTGTCGGGGTCAGGGCATGCGCTGCGAACACAAGAAATGTGCTGAATCAGCTATCAGTAAAATCCGAGACAAGTTCGAGAACGAGTGAGCCCCGCGCTGATTATTTACTTGATTTTAAAATCTGCCCCTTGCTGAACATCACCTCGTGTCCCGTATCTGAGTCAAATGACAGATTTGCGTTGACACTTTACAATCCACTGGCTCATTTCACCGATGAATATGTGAGAGTACCCGTTTCACACTACAACTATAAAGTAATTGATAATAATGGTATGTGAATGGAAGTATAATGCTTATGTTTTTACTTAAAATAAAACTAAATCTTTATTTATAGGTGCGGCTATGAATATTCAGATATTACCAGTGCCCCATTCAGTAATGAAAATTAAGAAAAAAATCTTAAAAGCAGAGTACGAGCTGGTATTTTTTGCGACTAACCTCCCACCAATGGGGTACAGGACTTATTATATTGAAAAATGGAATTCTTCTGAAAATTTCGCCAGGCCAAATGTTTCTCCAAAAAAAACATCAAGTTTAACAGTCATTGGAAACGAAGTAAGCAGTTCTTAATCGTAAACCATCTACTGTTTTACCTTTTTAATAATTGTTTGTTTTGTAGCATATTAAATTAGGATTTGACACTAATGGCTTTCTCTCAGAAGTAACTGCCGATGGCCTAACACAAATCATTAGCCAAGAGTTTCTGTACTATGAAGGTGCTAAAGGAAACAATGAGGAGTTTTTGAATCGATCATCTGGAGCTTACATCTTCCGGCCAAACCAAAATAAAATCCACTTCGTCGCTACCCAAGTAGATATAGAAGTATACAGAGGCGAAATTGTTCAAGAGGTCCGTCAAAAATTCAATGATTGGATAAGTCAAGTGGTCCGCGTGTATCGAGCGAAAAGTTATGCTGAGTTCGAGTGGTTAGTCGGCCCAATTCCAATTAATGATAACGTTGGAAAAGAAGTCATTACCCGCTTTACCTCTGGAATCGAGTCGGCAGGCACATTCTACACCGATTCAAACGGTAAGATTTTACACTTTAAAAAGCTTTTAAACAAATCATTTAACAAATACTTATACTTTTAATCTCTGTTATTTCAACCGAGTACACATTAAATGATTTATGATTGATATTTTACATATCGCAAAGGTCGGGAAATGATAAAGAGACGGCGAAACCAGCGTGATACATGGAACTTAAAACTGAATGAAGAAGTATCTGGTAATTACTACCCTGTTACAACGAAAATTGCTCTGGAGGATGGAACAGCTCGTATGGCCATTTTGACGGACAGGGCCCAAGGAGGAAGCTCACTACAAGATGGGGCTATAGAATTAATGGTACACCGTCGCCTACTACATGATGATGCATTTGGTGTAGGGGAGGCATTAAATGAAACAGAGCAGGGCGAAGGTTTAATTGCACGCGGCAAGCACTTCTTTTCCTTTGGTCAGTCCGGTAATCGCTCAGGCATTTCCCTGAAAGCTACTGAACGAATTGCACAACTAGAAAACATGTTGCCTGCATGGCAATTCTTTAGTAATATGAAGTCATACAACTCAGAAGAATGGCTCACGTCTTTTAAAAATATAGTGAGTATTAAATTGAGTATTATGATTGACATTTAAAAACGTATTTTGTAGTTTCAGGGAATTTCATTGGCTTTGCCGAAACCCGTACATTTGCTTACCTTAGAACCATGGCACCAAAATCAACTTCTTGTACGATTTGAACATATAATGGAGAAAGGAGAAGATGTACTTTATTCAAGACCCGTACAGATTAATGTCAAGAGCGTCCTTAGCTCTTTCGATATTGACGACATGCGTGAAACAACTTTAGATGGAAATGCCTGGTTAAATGAAACCGAACGATTGCAATTTGTACCTGACTCTGAGCAAGAGGTATACAACTCATACGCAACATTTTCGAGATCAGCAAAGGCTATACATTTATTAAGTGCCGCGAAGCCGTTGCTTGGTGTGAAATATTACGATGAAGCCTTACCATCTGGACAGTTGGGTGCTGAAAGTAACCGTATTAAGCGGGCTGCTTACACAGAGCGTCCTGAATTGCATAAAGATGATCAAGCCCCAGGATCTATGGCGGCAGATTTCACCCTTAAATCAGGTAGTGATCATCAGCAATACACAATTGAACTGAGTCCAATGCAGATTCGTACTTTCGTTGTCACTTTATCACATGTATAAATATAAATACATATAACTATATGAAGAAACTAAGGGTAGCCCCTTGCACAATCTTCGTTCGCTTGGCAAACTCCAAGCTTTTAATATACCTATACTATTAAAATAATAAAAACCCAACTCTCGACTTATATAAAAAGCTTGCATATTATAAAGGAACCATGTGAGAATTTTATATTTCTTTTATAACCGGTACTTGGTCAGAATATACATGGATGAAACCTTATGAATTTTAAACCTATTGGCCACATCTGTCATCTACATACAAATCCAACAATTCCCACACCAACACGCCTTTTTGGCTCGTTCTCTTCCGCAAAAGGCACACACTGCCCGAGGCAGAGTGTGCAAGCAAGAGATAAAATTAGCTGATTTCGTGTTGAAGGGTGGCATTTGCAAATTAATTTCTTCGTTCTGATTATATTTTCAACAGAAGTATTAACTTGTTACGAATTCCCCTATAATCTTTAAAATGAATTGTTGGAGTTTTGTTTGCAATTACAATTTAAAGTTTGCGGTCTAGAGGCTGGGGTCACAAGTATTGGGGGCCACTGGAAAATGAAAGCCTCTAAGTCGAGGGCCACAGAGCGTCGCACCGCCTTTCCTCTACGTAGCTATGCCACTTCTCTTGAAGATGTGGTGAGGCCATTCTTTATTTGGTCTGGCCTATTCTAAATTAAAATATTTACATACGTAGAGTAAAATATGTCAGTATAACAAACATACATATGTATATATATGTACATATGTCTTTTTCCTGCCAACTTTGTAATAGAAACTTTTTTCATTAAAATATCCGTCCATCCGTACATTCACTCACACTGCAGTTTCAGTGCTTTAACTAGAGGCAGGAGAGAGCGTATTTTTACGAGTTGACCAGTTGCCACATTCTACCCAAGATGAACAGCTCAATCTTCAATTCGTGTTGTGCGGCAGTAAAGTTATCTGACATTTCCTTATTTTACCTTTTTGTAAGTAAACCACAACGTGTTGGAGTCTAAATAATAATTCATTAACAAATTGTAATGCCCCAAATCTATCTAAGACACAAAAAAAAAAACGATACGCTTGACTCTGCCGCACTCTACATATGAACTTATGCATAATGCATAAACTTTATGAATTAAGTTTATGAAACATTTATTTAATAAGCACACACAAGATAAATTAACAATTCATAAGCAGTAAATTCACAAGAATTTGTCTCATTTTCTGAACATTACCAAACCCGTGCAGGCAAAATAAACTAAAGCATAGTGTTTGGAGAAATCTGTAAATAACCTGCAGTGCAGGTCAGCAAGTTGTAAGCAGCGACACAGCAACCCCAGCTTCATGCAGCTAGATGACCTGCTGTGCGATGAACTGATGGTGTTAACATGGAGATGTCCTAGGAGCGTAGGTTGTGACATCTATCCGACAGCCACCTTGCCAACAAGCAAACAGTTTTGGCAAGTTAAGCCGTTACCCGTCTCTCCCGCAAAATAATATAATACTTTATCTCTTCGAGTACCCTGTATGAAATCAGTAAAGGTGCATTGTTGAATACATAAAAGAAACAGGTTTTTCTAATAAACGACCGTCAATTTTTATTGATATCTTTCATGGTATAAATATGTACATATATTGCTTGATGCTTATTTTAATGTAGGATGTAGCTTATTTAATGTTGACAAGTGAATACTTTTAATAGTATTTTATTGGCTTTCATCTATGAAAGCTCCTCAATATTGAAGGATTAATTTACCTAATTAAATTTGTTTTAAATTTAAATTTACTAATATGACCATAACATGTTCGTAATGAAAAGACTGCTTAAATTTGAAATAAAAATGAGTGCTGTAACTACATGAATCTACAATGTATTACAATAAGGAAGTTTCCGAGACATGTTTCTCATAGGTATAACTGACTTGAAGGGCCATTGCGTACAAAAATTTGTATTAAACTCCTCGCCACTTGAATAGGACTGGCCATTGAGTCAGCTTTTTATCACCCACTGATCACAGCCACTGTTTATGAGCAGTGGGTGATGGAAAACTGTTTCAATGGGATGTACTACTCATACATATGTATGGATGTATGTATGCACAAAACATGTGATTGCTTATCGTCAGCAATAAATGCTTTAAATTGTTTTACATGTCTTTTCAGCTCATTCACTTAATTCTTTAAATAAGATATTATTTGTCAAGCCTACGCAACAGAAAACAGGCAGATTTTTATCAATGAGGTTTTCATACCCACTTTAAACATAAACAAATGTCGTTATGCAAATACATATGTATATAAATAAAATACAAATATATCAACACATACTTATGTACATGTGTACATTCAATCGTAAAGGCACAATTTGAATTTTCTAATGTTTATAATTAATTTTGTTCTATTTGTTCTTTGGACCTATGTGGACCCATTCCGTTTAACTTAGAGCTGTACGGTATACATATGTATGTACGTATCTCTAAGTTCATATTAACTTAATATGTACATTTATTAACTTATTTATTCAAAGGAAGGCTTGCTCCGTAACCCGAAGCATTTTATACCCTTGCAGATATAATTATATATGCCTATATCTTTTCTATATGAAAGCTAGACCGATTTTGACATTATGACTTGGTTATAGAAATACATTATTTAAATACATTCTTTTCATAAAAAGAGACATTATCTCTTGCAGAAAAAGACTCATTGTTGGTCATTCTTGTCAGAAATCATATACTTAATGTGGTCCAAGATTCTTTCATCTGTGCTTTGTAATTTTTTTGTCATCAAATCAAAAGTTGCTACTTAGGTAGACTCTGAGTCCCAGTCTTGGCGAGCCCAATAAGGAAATTCAGTTTCGTACTCCCATCCAGGACCCTAAAAAGAAAAATGTTTTCAATTATTTAGAAAAACCTTGACTGCCATTAAAATCAAACCTTATATTTCCAGGCGTGCAGATACATGATAAGGTCCTTAGACTTGGGATCACGGTAGTGAACCTTGCACTCATAACAATGCGCATCTGTTGTGATTTTATTTAGCTTTATTCCAACATCCGCATTCCCACCTTCGACAGCGTGGATAGTATCGGATAACTCCAGTGATGAAGAAGTTTCGCTAGGTTCCTTTAGGTCAGTACCTACAAATTCCTTGGAAGTGTTGGGAGGCTCTAATTTCTTGGAGTCTACTTCAGCTCGGATAGGCTCTAAGCAAGGCGGAGTAGTTTCGCGCGAATTTGCACAACCGTCGTCGTCGCTATGGTGAATAGCTAAAATTATTTAAAAAAAACAAAATATATGTGATTTGTTCATTAAAATGCCAGTATTTTTTATTTATATATATTTATTTATTTACCAACCGAAAGTTTGTTCGCTACTAAGGCTCTCGCCATCTGTTTCGTCCTTAGAATTTTTAAATATAGATATATCGGATTCATAATCTATTCCCAGCCAATTCTCCGCGTTGTGGATATTAATGAGATCTCGTATAAGCTCATCATCTGACTTTCCACCGATATCCCCAAAACGACCCTTCAAGGGGCCAAAGACTTCATGGTTGTATAGGGGATCGTTAAGAATCGGATAACCTATAACGTATAATTTCGTTAAATGAGAGTTTATGTATTATGATCACTGATTTGGCTCACCTAAATATTGCAAGTGAACTCGGATCTGATGCATCCGTCCGGTAAGTGGTTTGCACAGTACCACACTAGTTTTGCCATTTTGCGAAAGCTTTTGGAAGGTTGTGGTACAATCTTTTCCTCGTGGCGAGACTTTACACACTCCTATTTTGTAACTTACAACCTCAATGGGTTCCTTACATTCCAGGATTTCACTAAAAATTATAAAGAATAAAAAGAAATTATATAAGTACATTGTCAACAAGCAGTGGCAGTGCCAGCCACACAAAAACAAAACAAAAATCAGAAGGAACGTTGTGAGTTGCCTTCAAAAGAGACTCTATTTTAATACCCGGTACTCAGGTAATATATATTAAATCCATATACATATCTATGTATATGTAACCTAATGATTTCTTTCGAATTTTACATTTTACGTTTAATTGTTTAACTCTTCAAGTACCGGGTATAAAAAGCAAACTTTTTTATAAACTTATAATAGTTTCCGTTTAACTTACTCTGGAAAAATTCCCTCCACTCTACATATATACTCTTTTTCCACTTGTCTATTGCGAATTTGCTGCTCCATTTGGCGTGCCTTCTTTGGGCTCCGTCCGAACAATAATAGACCAGATGTCAACCGGTCAAGCCTGTGTATTGTGCGCAGGTTCTTGAGGTTGAATTCCTTTGCGAGTATGAAAACAACAGTATTGTGCCTATAGCGGCCACAAGGATGTACCTAAAGATGTAATTACATCACGGAAGATGTTAAAATATCAGTAAGAAAAGATTTTAATGTTGAATTAAATTATCTAAAATACTGATCCTATTAAAGCTTAAATCGACTTTCTGTTTGAGAGTTTAGACTTAATTTTTTGGCTTAGATCAATGCAATTTTCCAAGAATCCATCAAATAAATATCTAACTATTTGCATTATCATTTCGTATTTTCTTTAGATACACATAAATGAATGAAAATAAATATTAATAAATACTTAAGATGGCACTCGTTGAAGCCACTTACAGGTATTGATGCAGGCTTATTTACAACGACAATGTCCTCATTCATATGCACAATTTTTATTGGGTGACATGTCACAGGAACTTCATGTCTGCAAGTATAGCCATAAATCTGTCGTTAGATATGTACATAATCATTATATGCGGTGCAGCATTGTGGGAAAAAAATTGAGTATAGATAACATCAAAGTTGAAAAGTAATCAACAATTAGATAGTTTGAACAAGAAATTTGAAGGGAACGCAAGCTTTATTAGTTGTTTCGCTATCAGTATTTGCAGTAGAGCTGTTAATGCTTATGCGCTTACCTGTGAACTATATTAGCGAGCAGATCATTGTGTTTAAGTCGGTAATCAATGGGGACTTTCTCAAAGTTAACTGTCAGTGTTCCTGCCTGAATACAACGTTCGTACTCTTCAGATGGGTGTGCACGAAACTCTCGAGCAAATATATCCAGAATCTTTTCTCCCACCCAACGTCCTTTCGTGAACGTCGTAAAGGTGAAGTAGTAAGGGTAGACTTTCCGAAGACCTTTTTAATGATTATATTCAATGCATAAAATCCATTTACACCCATTCTTTATTCCTTACCATTTTCAATATAGTAGGATGTTTCTTGATATCGCTCATCCGTAAATCCAGGTCTTTTGGCTTTCAGAGCCTTTGTTTCAAGTTTGGCCTTAAATAGTAAATATTATTACGAAAAGCCTCTTTATGATTTTCATCAGATGCTTGCAACGCAGAAAGGGCATTAGCTCCAAACCGACTATGGACTCTGGGCCTTTTTCTTTGCGTTACAAACATTAAATCAAAATAAATATTTAGCATAGGAATTTCAATTACTTTCTTTAAATCCTTAATTGGATCGCTATTATCAGTTTTCCTCTTTTCTGGTATTTTGAGTTTCTCGTTCTCCGACTCCCGGTTAGATATATCCTGTAAGAAAAAATAACACCACGAATATAATAACTGTCTTATTATTATAAAAATTATAATGGTCAACCTATTTTTAAGAAATTTTGTTTAATGAATAGATTTTCCTGGGATTAAGGCATAAGAGTTGGCCATTAGTGATTATTTTCTTTATAGAATCGATCGGAATGTCTCTTGTTTGGCAGAAATGGTTGAGTACTATTGTTACCGTAGTGTTTCACATTACGTAAGCTCATTAGAATACCTAAATATTGTTCTACAAATAGTATATGGACTTGAACACTTGAGAATATCTACTTGCCTTCGACGCTTATGTATTCGTGGTGCCTTCCCATACCGACTATGCGCTGACGTTTTTATTTTCATTTCGTTTTTTTGTTTTCTTTGGCAGTGCGCCCAAAGAATGATGAAAAGATGCTGCATGCCTCAAAAGCCGCGCGGGAGATCCGAGCCACATACCACGAAAGATGACGGCCGACACAGCCTAGCGGTCACATCCCCTCAAGCAATCTCACAAATACAATGCCTCTGATATGTGTTTACATGAACGTGTAAGCATAATTGTGCAAATACGTGTGCACGACAATAGACAAAAGATACTCGTACACATATGTACAACAAAAGTCACTGATCATGTACATATCCATCCTAAACTTAGATGTGCCATCAGTACCATCACGAAGTAAATAACGAAGTAAGAACGCAGTTGCCGGCCATTCTTATGTAAGATATTCATAAATTAGAATCCCAAAAATCAATGGGATTTATTTGTACTCTACGATTGATTTGTTTAGATTGGTAGACTATAAGACATATTCATCAGGTGGATACCACACAAATAATATATTTCCCCCACACTATGATTATTTTTCTAAAGATATCCGATCATTGGCATTGCAGATAAATGAATGAACCTGCACGCTTTATAGTTCTACTCATCCATGGGAACTGCACAATAACTGAATGTATAAATTAATTAAATCATTCAACAGCAGAGACCTGTTGCCAGCGATATTTCTCACACACACAACTCAGACACAGACACATTATACGTTTTTAATAAACATATGTATGGCTAGAGATAGCTATACACCTATATACAGCATGTACATACAATTCAATTCCAATTATAACGAAACCACAATATGCCGGAAGAGTACATTGTGTTTTCAGTCGTTTGGTTACTTAAATATAACAAAATTTAATAATTTTAAGGAAAACTCTAATACCAAATATTAGCTCATCAAATCCATAAAATGATTCTAACGTGTAAACTGTTTTCAAGGGTATCAACAACAGCTCCAGCCTACATTTGATTGTGATTGTAAGACTCATTTGTTCTTTATGCTGCTATACTTTTTTCAAAGTAAATGCCGGGAGCATGCTTAAAAACTACAAAATCGTGTCAGTCTACAACCGGCAGACCACTGAAAATATTTATGAGCACGCCCACACCATGGCTGCTGTGGCCGCCTCGTGGAGAAGCAGGGGCAACAGGGGCAAAGTGCAAGAGCCTTGCGACACGCTTTCTTTCATCGCTTTCGCACCAATCGGTTACTCAAGTTGCCATTGGACGGACGAGTGCCAGCACCTGTCTGGAATGCAGCACGTGACTCCAACCCACGGAATTATTAATTATCAGTTTTCAAGAACACATACATATAATGTATGTATGAATGAATGAAAACTGCTATTATTATTTATTTTGTATAGTAATGATCAATGTTTATTCATAGATACATACATACATATGTACATATGATGAATCCGAGGTGGTTCTTTTTTACAAAGAACAATCTTCCCTAAGCATTTTTAACACGCAGATTAATATTTTTTTTAAGTTTGAACAGATTACATTTTTCTTACTTTTTACGTAATTTATAATCGTTTAACACGTACAAAATTGTAACTAAAATTTGTCTTTGAAGAGCCTTACAAAAAGACACCTATTGGCAGCATACTTATGAAAAAACTTAAGGTTTGGAAATTGAGAATTAAAAGTGTTCAAAATATGGATAAAAGATCATCAAATATCGCCACCGTATAAAAATCGGGATCGATTTCGCTATCAGGTGAACGGGTCTTGTCTTTTAAGTACATTACAATCATATAACTAACGCAACGAACGAGTGCAGCAATTGGTTGGAAATTGCATTCAACTTGGGTATGTGCAATTCTTTGTAGACAGCCGGTTTTAGGAATAGCTGGTTGACGACTGTCAACGCATCTTTGTCCAGTAACGGTTGTGTGAAACTACTTATGTTCATCTTAAGAGTAATCTCATTTGAAGATCTTAGCTGCAATGGAAAAGCCAGAAAAGGCATCTTGCTAGTTTGGTTCTGTGGCGACTCTTCTCAGAGGGGAAATACTCGTAAAATGAAAGAATATGAAAGATCATATGTACAGACATATTCATACAATGTGTATGAAGACATTCGAAGATTTGTTAGCCAGCACCTGATTGCTAAACGCTATTATTATGCCTTCGGTTGCAGCTTATGTGTATGTACTTTATTTTCATGGTCAGAAGCTCGTTAGTGTGGAGTCATAGACATTCGACTCTGTAAATTACACTCGCTCGTATATGCATGAAGTATTCACTTAACAATGGGAAAACATCGCGGCTACTGCTACTATAAAGAGCGTCTGGCTATACTGAAGACCTTGACTAACACAGTTAAAGCTCTTCGCTAACCATTTGGCTTACTAAATTATCGAATTTCAAAATGCAATCAAAGAAAAACGAAACTTGTGTTTATTGACGCGGAAAATCGGAAAGCCAAAATGTAACGAAGTATTTAATAACAAAATATAAATTAAAAGTACTCTGAGCTAATTACTGAAGATAGCTAATTTTACAAAGTGCAAGGCCATACTAGCCAATAGTAGCTTAACATACAATAATAAATAGAATTTATAACAATGGCTATGTTCAGCTTACCTTTTTTTTTAACATTTCCACATTTGGTACAACTTTGATGGATGAGAGCGCAGCTCCTTGGTTCCTCAGTTCAATGATGTTGCTCAGGTTAATCGACGACAGGTGATGAAAATCTGGTGGCAGACAATTTAGTGTCTGAACGAGTGCGCATGCCGACGGGGATGCTCGCGGTGCTGGTTGTACTGTCATGGAAAGAGACGACGTCTGATGGGTCAATCCTGGTGCGGCTGGTGCCATAAGGGTTTGTTGTGCGGCCACGGGGACGCCTGAAGCTGGTGCATAGTATGCACTCACAGGCAATGACGAGAACATGGAAGATGGCATCAAATGAGCTTGTGTTTGGCTGTGGGGATGTGACTGGGGACACGGATTTAGCTGTCCTGGGTAGCTCCCCACATGGGTTGCACCCAGTAGTGTTGGCCCAAAATTATATGCGGAACTCATATGCGGGAAGTGTGTTCCGGCTGCTGCGCTAGGATGCAAAGCCGGCTGCTGATAGTTCGACGGAGGAGCTGCTGCCGTGTTTGGTGAGAGCTGTTGTTGGACTTGAGGCTGAGTGGCGAAAATACCACCTCCCATCGAAGAAGCTCCCATTTTATCCAAAAAGGGCGCCTGCATTTGCATTATTTTCTGCTGATGCTGCTGCGCCGCCAAAGACCATGGCAGATACCACGCGCAAGACGATTGGGAGTTCTGCATTTTAGTGCTACTCGTTTCAGCAGTAAGCGGCGGTTGTTTGACTTTGCACGTATCTATGTATGTATGTATTTACTGCTTATATGTTTCTGAAAAGAGTAGCCACTTTTAAATCTTGAATCTTAATTTAAAATTTGCGTATTATATGTGTATAACAATAATAATAACAATAGAAAACGTAAAACTAATTTTAAGATATTATGTATGTACATATATATGTAGGTTAAAAGGTCACTTGTACCGGGGAGATCTTTAATTGAATGTGTAAATTGATTAATACTAGTAAAACATATGTTTTACTAAATAAATATATGTCAAAACTGCATATGTAAATTATGTATGCATCTAGAAAAATGCACTCCAATGCTCATACATATTGTGTTAGTTCGTACAAATGTACATAAAATGTACATACATATGTATGTATGTATGAATGTATCTGGGCATTTTTATTTGTGGTTTTTGTTAGCGGAGAGGCGTTAAAAACGATGCCCGTCATTATTTTTGTAGTTGATTTGGGGCTTGAATCTCAATAAAAAATCACAATACGTAAGGTACATGTATATATGTACATCTTTGTGAGCTGATAAAAAGCGGCAAGTTAGGGATTCTGAATGGATTTTCGAAGATTTTCTGATCTGATCACTGACGGTATTTACCAAGGGATGGAAAATAGATAGGAAAATAGCAAAATGGACCCTGGATACACACATGATGATATTGTTATTAGTGCATATGTATGTATGTATTTATTTATGTACAATGTTTATGCTCACTTTATGGTTGTTTTTGTGATATATATATATATACACGTGTACACACAACCAAATAACTAAATGTACGCATTTGTATATTAAATTAGACTATGTGATAGCTTAGTCAACGTTGAATTTTCGGGAATGTTTGTGTTCATGCCTTTATATATATGTATATGTACAGGTACATATGTATGTACATGCATAAATAAGTATATATGTATACATATTAGACCCCCGGACGTGCACATTACACGCGACAGAATTCTGACTGACTGGTCTTTGCCAAAAACGAAAGAACAGAACAAAGATGAACAAGAATGAGATTATTTAGGTAAATGAATATGTACACGGTAAATATGTATGTATGTGATAGAGCAAATACAATATGCACACGACATGTACATATGTATGTATGTTATAAACAAAAAACTATGAAACTATCAAGGGCCTAATTACTAAATTAATAGGGTACTTAAATTGAAATGTAAGTCATACCGCCCATCGGTTCTTAATTTGTTCTAATTTTTAAATCTTTCAACCAAAGTGGTTAAGGAACATAAAATTGAGCCAAATTCATTAATTGTGTTTTGCTCAGAAGAATGTTTACTTAGTTAAAAGGTAAAAAAACATACATTTGTCTATAGGTTTCATAAAAAAACATGTTTGTTTGTACGGAGTAAAGGAAAATGGTTAGTTTCCTTGGTAGTTTAAAACTTCTTTTGTAATGATTATTCCGTATTCGAATTTGAAGCTCATTTAAATAGGCTATACAGTATGAATTTGTATATGTATTTGGATTCCCTAAATGTGAGTCAATGGCAAAGTTTTTGATCACTCAGCCTTAAGACATTCCGTTGTTTCGTTTAGAGGTATTTACTTGCTGTTATTTCTCAGTTATTGCTTTACATTCACTCAAAAGAAATCCAAGGGATATATTTGTTTAATTTAATTGAACAAAAAAAAGGTTATATTTTATAAATATGCGTTTCAGTTGTTCATTTTTGTTTTCTTGGGATGGTACGTAAAATCAGAAACTCACTAAAATCGAGCCAACGACTTTCCCAAATTAAATCACACTTCTTAATCACTTATTAATACTACATATAGTATATGTATGTACACACACGTACATACATATGTTTGTAAAATATGTAAACTATTTTAAGCCGTCAATTTATAACACGCGGGAATTTAAAAAATGAGACGAGCAAGCACCGTCGTTGGCAGGTCAGCATTGGAATATGATTTTCTCAAAACGGCCGAGTCCCTTGTTTTAAAAGCCAAACACAGCCAAGTTAACACAATTCAAAATTTCTGTTGTTTCGTTTTCCGCGGCCGACATGCATATGATGTTTAGATCAAGTTGTGGCCGGAGACTTTTCTGAGTTACAATTTCAAATTTTATAATTCAAAACGGCCGCAACGGTGCGAACAAACCTGTTCGCTCGGCCGTGGGCTTGGGCTGTGGTTGGTTCGACATGAAATTTGTAACAAGGTATGTTGAGACAACGAGGTATAGAGCTTTGCAATAAATATGGAAATGTATATTAAATGTAGTTCCCTGTTCCCACATCAAAACACGGAACGCCTCAAAAAGTTCGAGACCATACGAGAGAAAAAGTAAAACGATAATTTAAGTTTCGTAGCAGTTGAAATACAGAAAATATTTAGCGTTTTTAAAAATAGTATCCAAACCACAATTGAATTTGTATTTATCACAGAAGCATTTTCTTCTTTCAAAGATTCAATGCAGCAAAATTTCACCTTTTCCTTTTTCCTTCTTACTTTGCAGGCAGAGCTTTTTGGAGACTGTTCGTCGAACATAAGAGAGAGCTCAAGCTTTTTGGACAAAGTTTTGAGCACATTGGAGAGGAAGTCAGATTCTTGTTGTAACAAGCTTGAGGACTCGTTTTACAATATTTACGAGAATTTACAATAAATAGTCCAGCAACATAAGGGAATCTCCGACAAAATGTCTACCATGCCAAAAACATGTAAAAGTCAATAAAAACCGATTTACGTTTTATCCCGATATAAATCTGAAAAGAAATTAGCTGATTTAAACTATTCATTCATAATATTATGAGTTTTGATCTTCAAGGAAAGGGTTTCACAAATTTGTATGCAGACAGTCCAACCCAATTCGTCCAAGCGACCTAAATGAAGGACTTTTATTATTCTTATTTTAATGTTGTTGTACTTAATTGTGGCTGATAGCCATAGCTGTTGATATTTATTATGTTTTAAAATTACAATACTTGCAATACTTCATCTTTGGCTATATAAAGTCAACAGTTAGTTTTTTTTTATTTGTAAAATAGATTTTATTAATTTGAAAATTCCAAGTATGTACATTTCAGGTCGTGATCAATATAAGTTGTTTTCATATTGTCTCGCAGTGCCATTATCAACCTACTAATATCTCTTATCTTTTTGCCTAATACGTATTAAATTCTTAAGTCTTAATAACAATTTCATTGATTCACCAATTTCAGTAAATCTACCACTAATAAAAGACGGTAGTTTTCCCACCCTTTTAACAGGGCTTTCCTAGGCGTAGGCACTCCTTTAAAAAGTCCAGTAGCTGGAAAAGTAACGCTTATCCAAGCAAAACATGATGTCGTCATTTTTGTCAGGCAAACGCAATTTAGAGCTCTAATGTACGAATGTATTGTATGTATATACCTGTTGTATACACAGGACTGAATGTTGTATATGTATAAGAGTAACAGTACAGGTCGAAATATGCCAGTGGACACATAACATACAAACTAACGTACAAACACACGAAACAAAAAATATTTAATGGGTGAGCGCGAGCACACCTACAAAATATCGTGCTGATTTAATCACTTTCTTCGTTTTCACAAACGAACGTCAACTTTCACTCTCGTATACAAGCACGCACCATCCCCTATTCCAGGTGTAGCGCTACGACCACTGGCCATTAAATGTTGCCTTATATGAGGGGCTAGCCTTTATACCCTTTCAGATGTTTGTATATTTGTTTCTGTGTAGCAAAGTGTTGCAGTTTTCACCCTTTACCCAATATAACTGCATAAAAGCTAGCCTGTGTCAACATACAGGCTGTAGATCACCTTTAAGATCAACTTAAGATCTTTATGAATGAGTTTTATATTTAAGCAAGTCTTATTACTAATTAACAAGCGATCGACAGAAAGGGTGGTTAAAACTTCGGACTCTGAAGCCTCCTACCCAGCCTACCTTTTTTTATCCTGTCGTGACCACAGCTTTTTAAGGAAAGCCCTATAACTTTTAGACGACTTGTGTGCGAGTAAGAAAAAAAAAAAACGAGTCACAGGAGTCAGGCATGCAATGCTAAGCTACCCAACCCAAATTTTATCAACCAACTGTGCTTTATATTAAAAAATGTTCCATTCAAAGTATTTCTCTTCAAGTTTTCTAAATAAACTTTTTACAAATTACTCGATCCTTTTTAGATATATTAATTATTATTATGGTGGAAGTGGACGTGTATAGCACCGATAAAAGAAAGAGATTTCTCAACAATAGCTAGTCTAGAGCACCATTCGAATGTTGATTTTATACATTTTTCAACACCTTCTGCGACCCCCAAAGACCCAAAAATCTCTATCAGGAACGGAGACGAACAAATATGTTAAAATTCGGATCAAATAGGAGGAAATATAATAACCGAAGTGCAAGAATTACCATTCGAACATTACTGTCCCTTGACAGGTGCGGACAAAGAGAAGCTAAATTATCCTTATCCTATTTCAACCATTAAGCAACAAAGTAATTCGACCCTTTTACGGACTCCCCATCCCTTTGCAGTCGGCCTAGTATCCCGCCCTCCAGCATATCCTAGTGTCTGGGGAACACTATCGATCCGATAAGAGACCACCGTATCTTCTACCTGCTCTAAGAAGCTCAGCAGATCCGTCATACAATCTAACCGCACGCTGGTCACACTATTCCCGAGCGAAATACATCGGAAGCACTCTTATAAAAGTGGTCAGTGGTCAAACAGAAATCAACAACATCAACATCAATGCAAACCCATGAATACCCTCAACTTTTTAATTTCAGTGCCATGGTTTCTGTGACCATTTCAGACCAAAAATGTTTATGAAGTTTTTTCGACAATTAAAATATATTATCCCTTCAGAAAATTCTTGTTATAATAGATGGGTACATGCTTTAACTGTATAAAACATACATACATTTACAATAGTCATTATACATTTACATTTCAACCATGCATATTTATGTAAACATGTACATGTCTACATAAGTATGTATGAAAGAAGTATTTAATACTGCACGTGCAAATGGTTAATGTTAGAATTATTGAAGTGTCAACATAATTTGTTTAAGAGATATAACAAACTGCTAAAGCAATTCGGACTCTTCCAAGTGCCGCCCAGGTTGTTAAGAACGATAAAATCAAAAAGTGTGCAACACGTTAACTTGCAACAAGGTGATAAAACAGTAAATATTGAGGGAGCCGTGACATCTACCATAGGAGACTCAGTCATGATCGATCAAGAAGCTCAATCCCACGAATCCGCTCCCGACGGCGATCTTCAAGTAAGAAAACGTTGTAACTGATATCTATGTATTTATGTATGTATGTATGTATTAACATATGTACATATGCATAGGCTGAAATGCATAAGGCTGAAATCATTAACCTCCACGGTAAATCTCCAAAGTTGACACATTGAATATTGGCTTTTCATATAATTAGTGAATTTCCAATTAATTTTATTAATTAAAAAAAATACTTTACATATAAGGATTGCAGTCGACTAACGACTATGCCAAAAATTACCAAAAATAAATCTTCTCATAATAATAGAATAGTAGTAATAGTCATGATAGAATTAGTAAAAATGGTTACAAACTTTTCAAGATTGGGTAAATTACAACTCACTTCTTTTCTAGCGTCTTGGCAAAAAGGTTACAAAGTGTAACACTTAAGCCCTTGTGTTGCACAAAAGACATTTAAAAGCATCTAGGAAAATCTCGGCTTTTTAATGTCTTTGTTGTTTTTATGATAAGACTCGTCAGTTTGTCGGACCACCCGTTTTCCTTATGTATGCACCTTCATATTTTTATCCGCGAAATTGTCATAATTATTTCTCATTTCAACCTTCCTTTCCTCGACTTGGTGTTTGTTGGGGTAGGTGGTGGCACTCTGCTTCATTCTAGTGTCATTATTGTGGTTCTCTAACGAGCTACTTTTTTCAAGTTGGCGGGAAGCTACATGGTCGTGATGTTTCCGCATTTATTTGTGTCAGTATTTTCTGCTTTCATGTAGTGGCAGCTTTGGTTTCTAAAGTGTGCTGTCCATTGTTTCTCTTTTCTTTTAAAATACTTTTGTATACCATTTCTTCTATCATTTCAAAGTCTTTAAAGCATTCTTACCATTAAAAGCCCCTTGGATTAGCCTTCTGAGTATTTTTCTACAATACAGTCTTCATTTTTGTATATGCTCTTAATTATTAAGATTCATGATTAAGAATAATTCATGTGGCCATTTGCGTCTGTATTAAACACCAGAATTTCTAGACATGCCTGGCCTTCGCGCATCCTAAGCTTTAAGCATTTAAATCTACGCGGCTTTTAAATGGCAACTACCTTTACTTCGTTGCTATTGCACTCAACAAAACGGAACTTTTATTTTCCTCAAGCAACAAACCCTGATTTTTCTGATAGATTTGGGCCAAGAATAACGGACCAAGCAAAGGAGTAACATGAGAGTGGGAAAACAAATCTCGGTTTATACACAAGAACCCTTTTTAAAATTAAATGAAAAAATAATAATAATAAATATTTATATCCAGGTTTCAACGACAGTACAAAAAGATGCATCACAATTGCCCGAAAAACGGAAGACTATCGAGACAGACAAATTAGTTGATGCAAAGAAAGTCAAATTAGAGACCAAATCTCCCAAAAATAAAAAACCGAACTTGACCGATGAAAAATATGACGAGACGTCCTATTATTTTGAAAACGGTAAAAACGTCAACCGTGAATAAATATATATTTTTCATGATTTTTGGTACTTTCAGGCCTTCGAAAGGTTTATCCCTATTTTTTTACGTTCACGACATTTACAAAGGGTCGTTGGGTTGGCGAGAAAATCCTAGACGTGTTTGCCCGTGAGTTCCGCGCGCATCCTGCAGAAGAGTATCAGCGCAGTATAGAGACTGGAAAACTAACCGTCAATTATGAGAAAGTGCCTTCAGACTATAGACTCAAGCACAATGATCTCCTATCAAATGTCGTTCATAGGTAAAGTGTATTGCTCTTAAAACGTGAACAAATTCTAATTAAATACATTTTGAATTATAGGCATGAAGTCCCTGTAAGTCTACAGTCTATTGCCATAGTACACATGGATGAAGACATTGTGGTTGTTAACAAGCCGGCTTCAATACCAGTAAGTTTATTAACAACTCTAATAATCAATCGCAAAATAACTGATCTCAAACGAACAACACTTCCAGGTACATCCGTGTGGTCGGTATAGACATAATACTGTGGTGTTCATACTGGCCAAGTCGCACAACCTTAAGAACCTAAGAACTATACACCGATTAGATCGTCTTACATCTGGCCTACTTATCTTTGGGCGCACCTCAACAAAAGCTCGTGAATTGGAACAACAAATACGAAATAGACAAGTACAAAAGGAATATGTTTGTCGCGTTGAGGGTCGTTTTCCCGAGTAAGCTACGCAAATACCGTAGAAATTCTAAAATATACTTTTAATATATACTTTAATATATACTTTTTACAGTGGAATTATTGAATGCAATGAACCTATTCAAGTTGTCAGCTACAAAATTGGAGTTTGTAGGGTATCGCCAAACGGCAAAGACTGCAAGACAACGTTCCAAAGAATTTCTGAAGTTGGAGACTGCAGCATTGTTCTGTGTAAACCACTCACCGGACGCATGCACCAAATAAGAGTACACCTACAATATCTAGGTAAGAATTTATTGAGCTGCGTTTGTAAGGCAGATAAGATCTAACCTTCTTTTATCGGCAGGTTATCCTATTGTAAATGATCCGTTGTACAACCACGAAGTGTTTGGTCCCCTGAAAGGGCGAGGAGGCGACATCGGAGGAAAAAGTGACGATCAGCTAATTAATAATCTAATCAAAATTCATAATGCCGAAAATTGGTTGGGAATGGAAGAAGGCGGAATTTTGCCAATAGCAAATCCAATCAAATGTGAAGTTAAAAATTCTAGAGAAAATGAGAGTTTAACGGAGATAGAAGCCCAGCAGACAAAATTAAAATCAACGGTTGACTCAATTACAGATGTATGTAATTTCATATGTCGAAATATAAGTTCTTTTATAGCAATTTTTGTATTTTAAAGGTTGGTCATGAAGAGCCAATAGACCCGTTTGATCCAACTAAAACAACATTTGATCCATTCTGTCATGAATGCAAAGTTAACTATAGAGATCCCAATGCCAAAGATCTGATCATGTACCTGCACGCTTGGAAATATAAGGTAAATAATTTATATAAAGTTTCTGGTTTGTAAGAACAATATTTTATAACAAAAATGTATGTACATATACAGCAGAAAAATGAAAGCTTAACTTGAGATCAGAACGCATAGTAATCACACATACAACAATTTGTGTACTTTCAGGGTGTCGACTGGGACTACAAAACAGAGCTGCCGAATTGGGCTTGTAAAGAGCTGATTGATTATGATACACTGTAGAACAAAAGTTGCCATGGCCTATCTCGCCGGAAAAAGGAAATTCTCTTCTGCTGAGTTGATGACCCTACACTTACAGAAGAAACAAGCTGTAAGCAAGAAAACGTTCGGATTCGTACCTGTTTTCTAGGCTATATAGCCGACCCCTGTATGCACCAAATACTACCTGCATTTTAAAAACAATAAAATGTATAATTTTGTATGTGGTGTCCCACAATGGATCAAACAAGTTAATTTAATTCGACATCTTGTCCAACCAGCCGAGGGCCAAAGGCATATTACGGGAGAGTTAGACGGGCGGGGGGCTTGTTCGGCTTTTCATGTTTACATACTACTGGCGAGATTACTTGAAAATCATTAATTCAATAAATATTAAAAACTGACCAGCAAGGAAATGTCAATTTGTGCAGAGCCCTTCCAGTATAAGTAGTTAAATGAAAGGTCGAGTAGGTTCGATGCAATACGTATACATTTATTGGCGACGATCAGCTCAAGACCACTAACCATACATTACCAGACCCCAGACAGCTGATGCAAATTTATGTGTGCGTGTAAGCCACAAGACCATTGTTATTTTTTAGCGCTCGGTTGGTTACTTTGTTGTACCAAATCTTAACTAACTAAATATCCAAGTAAAAGTTGTAAATTGTAAGCATTTTGTGCATATGGCCCAGCACTCTGTTGCACAAAAAAAATTTAAATTTAAGCGATTGAGCCCGACGGATTTTCTCGCTTTTCGTAGAACGAAAAAAAATCTTGCTCCCATATTGCCATTCAATTATACTTATAATACCAATCTATTATTTACTATTTAATTTTGAGTTTCAAACTTTACTAAGTCTTTTCAACTGCGTACTACCGAGACACGCTCATCATCTCTTCTCAATTTATCTCCTCTGACTTGCAGTTGAGATTGCTCTTGAGGCCTAGTTCCAAAAAAATATTACGTGACTACCCTAATTGAAATGTTTGGTTATATCGATATATTTGATCTATCGAAATATAACATTAGCCGGATAGCTGATAATAATTAGCAAAGCACAACAATGATCCACGATTTGTTATTATCCTGCTTAACGCAAACTAAGAACGGAATTGGAATACAGACTTTTTTGGTAAGAATAGGGCAAACTGAAATAGAAAGATACATACTATTTACAAGTGTGCGAGTACGATAACATTAACATGAACTTATTATGCTTCAGTACAACAACACCATTGACCACTTTATCCATCCTTGCGAGAGAGAACTATTTCAAGAAATTTTGAATATTATTAATGTTCTTCACGAAGTTGTTCAGTTCACACTTTTATTGAGATTAAATGAATATGAACGGTGTAAAAAATCGTTGAATGAAGATCACAGCATTGAAGGTAAGTTTTAATATACTTGGAAATGATTATAACTTATAATCCTCTATAATTTTATTATAGATCACCCACACGGCTTTTACTTGATTAATTTTGGCAAAGGCGTCGAGGCAGCGCTTGAAGAATATTATGATGAAATCACACAGCTTGAAACATTTTGCTCAAAGAATAAACCCAATTCGCTTGCATTTGTTCATGATGCATTGCAGGCAAAACTCCCAATTTTACTTTTTTTGAAAAAACGTATTTTCGAAATACAAGTGAAAAAACTGCATGGATGCACCATGCTTCATAGCCTACACCAACATTCCGAGCATGGAGATTTTCAACTGGAAAGAATTACAAAAATGCAAGTAGTTTAAAATACATAAAGGGTGTTTAATATATAATAATATATATTTATTTGTTTCATAGAGTCATGAAGCCAGTAAAATTTTCGTTTTTCTCAAGTATGGCTCACTGGTTAATTTTTGGGGTGATCGACGATGTCTTTTCCGAGTTTTTTATTAAATTTTCTCCACAAGATGATTCCTCCCTGAATGGCTCTTGCTCAAAATCATCAGTAAATAATACCCGTTTGGTGAGTTTCTAAACAATTTAAACACGGCACTAATTACAAATAATGGTTATAACCTTTAGAACGCAGGTGGAAACTGTGAGGACTACATATGGCAATATGAAATCAATTTAAGTCAACTGCCAGGATTTCTGTCAACTATTGTGGCTGAGAAAGTTCTATTCGTTGGGCAAACAGTTCTGGTTTTTAAAATGGGACGAAGCTTCCAAAGAAAAAATAAGAACGATCACTGGGAAAATAAACGTTCTGATAGTTCGTGCGATGACATTTACAACCTATGGAATGGCAAAGAATCTGAATACCTTGAAATGGTAAAGGATCTGAACAATGATGAAGAAATTGATGTTTTTCATATCGAAAGCGTTGTTAATGACATAAAGAAATACGTTAGCATGCGTTTGACAGAAATAGCCCTTAACGAGGTTGATTTAGAACGCCAAATGGGTTTAATTAAAGATTTCTATTTGTTAGGGCGCGGAGAGTTTTACTTAGAGTTTTTATCTCAACTCAACCGCGCTTCAGATGTCTATTGTGATTCCAGCTCAAAAAATTACACCAGATCTTTTGAGGTTGGTTAAACGTACTTCATTACACTAAACATTTAGATATAATACATTTTGTCTCGTAATTGCAGCTTGCCGCAACTGTCATGGGAATTACTGATGATTTGGAAAATTTCTCACTTAGTGTTCAGAAAACTATCGGGGAGTCGGATGAACACTGCGATTTTCGAATCTTTGAAAATCTTCATTTAAAATATATATACGAATGGCCATTGAATCTTTTGTTTTCGCCGAAGGCAATTGAGCGATATAATCAGATATTTAGATTCTTATTGACAATAAGAAAACTTCAGTACGATCTGCAACAAGTTTGGACAACACAGACATTGGCAGCCAAATCGAAGTCGGGACACATCAACATGAGAATGATGAATCTCCTCAATCAACTTATGTTCTTTTTGAATAATATGCAGTATTACATTCAAGTGGATGTACTTGAAAGTGAGTTTACTAAACAAAATGCTTGCTTGCATATTAACATCTACGAATATTAAATATATTTTAGGTCAGTTCAGTATTTTGATAAATGCCATTAGGAACAAAGCTGATTTTGAAGAAATACAAAAGAAGCATACAGTATTTCTAGCGAATGTTCTTTCCCAGTGTTTCCTGATTTCTGGCTCAAAGGATTCACAAATGGATTCATCACGCACAACATACCAACCCACAAACCCCATTTATGGCAACATTCTTGAACTCTTTTATATATGTGCAAAATGTAGCAGAATCAACGCGTTGGCAAACACATCTGATGAATTTCTAAAGGAGCTCGATAATCTGGAGGAAAGGTATGATCCTTGTCAATATATATAATATATTAATAGTTTATATAGCAATTAAGTTAGATAGAAAAGATATGTATACACCATGTCCGTGTGTCTGTTTGCTTGTACCTAGAACCTCAGAGTTATTGTTCAATGTTCTAGGAGCTGATCGCTTTGGCTGAGAGTAGGTATCTCTTCGGAATGAACAGAGTTCTTAATTTACTCCTGAGTAGCTAATGAACTATGTACTGATCTTTTGGTGCGTACAATGCGCGTGTTTATATTTTCTCTTGAATTCACATGGTAATATATTAACATATTGTTTTATATTTTTAGATTTGGCGTCCAAATAGCGAGCCTTCTTCAATTACTGCTGAACATTAAAACATCATCTTGTTTGGGGCCGCTTTCTCAGCTTTTACTGCGATTGGATTTTAATCATTGGTTTAGTTCCGCTCATAACATTTCCTAAGATAAACATTGAAATACTATAGCTGCAAGCGTTTTATATCTTCTATACGAAAATCAATTCTGAAAAAATAATAAAAATAGTCTATTTTATAAGCAAATACAATTTACAACTAAAATTTACCTCAGTGCTAAAATAGCACGGACTTCGTTGAGTGTTAAATGCCATGATGGCATTTCTTTGTTACTGTCAGGACTCCAAAATTCAGATAGCTCCGAAACCTTGTCCAGATTCAACACAGTGGCGATTTGAGATATTCGCGTCATCTTATCTCTCACTGACCATGATGTCGCTCCTGTCAAATAGGTTCCCAAGGCACGAACTTCCTGATCGAGAATGAGGCCACCAAGCTTTCAAGTGAGAGATGAGTTTTAAATTTAATGAGACCAAAAACGAATATATAAATAATTACCCTATTAAAACTGCATTTTTTAATAGCTCTCTCCAATTGAATTGTGACCTCCGTTGCCAATATGCTCACAAGCGCATCGTAATTGCGTGGGCTCAAGGCTGTTTTGAAAGAATTTAGGAGTCCATCCAGATGAACGATAAAAAACTGAACAAAAGTTTCTTCAGCTTCATAAATGGCAAGTTCCTCCTAAAATTAAATATTAAATTACGAATAAAGTTTAACATTTGAGTGTGTTTCAAGCTTGCCTCTGTAAGGTTGTGGCTGTAGCTTAAAAATTTGTTTATCCAAGGATTTATTCGTGGCTTTATTGCGCTGGATCTAAGTTGCTGCATTCCAAAGTCGACAGTGGCCTTTAAAGCGTCGCGAACAGCCTTAAGTTCTGTCAAGCAGCTGTCAAGCAATTGTCGCTCAACCGGGGTCGTGCACGGAAATGTTCCAGCAATTTCCAGTTCCATGGTCTGACAAAGAGTTTCGATATATTCAGTGGACATGTCTGCATTGTTCAGTTGGACTAGAAAATTAGTTCGGCTTCTATCAGCATCAGTCGAATGCAATTTCCCTTGCTGCAACGTAGTTTGTATTGCGTTATATGCTTGAGCTAGGTCGATATATCCAGAGGTATAACCACTCTTTAAAGGTGTCTTGAGCGCAGCTATAAAATCTCCATCAAGACAGGCAGCAACGTTATTAATAACGGCACATGTTCCGTTTATTGATTGCGTTGTTAAGGCACGCCGAATGGATTTTCGAAGTATGAAAAACACATCATCTACTATTGAAGAACATTGCTGTCCCGCTTCATATTTGTCCAGTCCGATGGCTTTAAGTACGCTCTCCTCCATGAAATATCTACAAAATCATTTTAAAAATATATATAAGTATTAAGAAGAGAAAATCGTTTAGTCTACCTTTCAAAAAGCAAATAGGTGCTCAAAATTTCTTGCATTTGTCGGCGTAGGTCCGCATTCTTGACAATCCTTTCATATCGATTCATAATAATAATCTGGTCTTCTTTTTCGGGCACGCATGTATCAACATGAATCTAAAATCGAGATTGTTTCAGTA